TGGTAAAGGCGAAGAAGAACGTGATCCCTTCCTTTCTAATGAATCCCAAAAATTTGTTTGATTATAATGGGTTGGAATTCGTTGATGCTCTTCATGTACTTTACGACGTTGTTCTTGCTCTTGCAATTTAAGTTGGTTGTCACGCATTGCGTTTAATGGAGTACTATTGTTTTTTTGAGTCGGTGGTTTGGTCGCATTCGTTCCCCAAATCAAATCATCAAGATCCTCCATCCTTAAAAATTTAAAATATCCTAGATTCAAATAAATTCTAATTGTCTTTACTTCGTTACTGCCGAATATTTCGATGTTCTTATACCTAATGAAAACGATAAATGAATGAAGTCGAGAAATGTCAGATCAAAAACTCAAAAACGTAGCATATAAATAAAATAATAGCTGAGTAACCTGTTCTTTTTTAATTGTTTATATTTATTAGGAGACTACCGAACGTAAAAAGAGTGACCAGAGGTGCTGATTTAACTTGTACTTGTGGCTATGATGTATGAATTTTCGTAATCCACTTTGCCACAGTTTGAAACGCGGTTAAGTTTTATTGGCAAATATAAAAATTAAGTGATTTGATTGGTTAAATTTAATCGAGCTGTAGAGCATTTATTTCGAGGTATAATACGTACGTACGTACGTACTAACTGTTACATTGGAATTTGTCCCGGGTATTTTACATTTCACGGTGAAAATTTAAATAAAAAATAGATGTTAAAAATTTGAATAAAGCTAAAATTATGATATTGCGGCGCCTTCATTCGCATGAAACTTGGACACGTATGTCAACAAGGTCAAAGATGATCCTCTAAACGTAAAGCACGACGATAGATTGTTCAGCAACTAGCTCATTCTTGAATGTCATGAAAATAAATTTAAATGAATGAGATCTGACACTTTTGGCTGGCGCATTTTACTCGCTCGATAATCAAACATGATGATAAGTAAATATTCATGAACTAATAAATGTTATTGGTATGTGTACGTACCATTATTTAGAATAATAGTAATATTTAGTTCTGATATATCATGCACCATGTTTATACCACGCACTCATTTAGCGCGAATAAATGTTCATCATGTCTGGATCGTAGAGGTTCATCATGTCTGGATCGTAGAGTTTGTTAATCGGCTATCATACTCCGGAGTACTCCAGTTTAAACCCAAACAAGACTGGGGTGAGTTATAAAATAATGTATAATTGGTGTGTTAAACCCGTTATTAAATGACGGGGATGTAACACTTATCAAAGTATATCAATGATGAGTATAAACTCTATAGGAGACAATTCGTCTGATTGGCTGACAGAAATCAATTGCTCGGGTAACTTATTTATACACTTTAAAGTGCTTTTTGATATTTTTGATAGCAAAACGTTTACTAACAAAAAATCGTCACAAAAACCATTCATAGCTTTAAAACTGTTTCATAAATTTTATATGTGCTGCAACTTGCAGATCCCTTAATTAGATCATTACCTGACATTACATTTAACCGCTACTACAGAATTTGCATTGACAATCCTAGATATTTTATTAGACAGATTTACAAATTTCAAATTTGAAAAGTTTGATTGTCCACCATGCCTCTTTTAACAGTTAATACGTACGTACAGTACTAAAACTTATTACGGTTGACAGACCAAAACACAATGCAAGAATCAAATATTAAACCCGAAACTTTTACAATAACCTATTCTTGTTTAAATTCGATAGTTAGTAATAAAAGATTTTTTAAACCTAACGTAATAAGGCAGTCTTGAACAAAAATGGTCCACTTATCTTCATTTTCATATAATTTGAGATTATCCAATAAAT